CGTGCGTGTGGGTCGCTGGCCTCGCCCTGCACCCAGCTCGCTTGGATCTGGGCCCCACCTCCCCTGGCCTGCTCGGGTTCCTCGCCCGCCAGCCTGTCGTGGCCCGCACCCGCAAAGAACACCCCCTCCCCTCCTACTTGGGTGCCTGCACCCACGGTCCGCTCGGATCCCTGCCCCTGGACAGCGGATCTTCCCAGACCCTCACCTGCCTCCCGGGCTGCATCTCACCGTACCTCCTGCAGCTTCCCCCGTTCTTGCCGCAGTGAAGGGCGAGATGCGGCATGGGCGCTGGGTCCTTCCAAATGTTCCCTTCAGGGACGGTGTGAGTGAGGGGCGCCAGGGGTGGGCGTTAGGGAAGGTCTTTCATTAAGACTCGTTGTTGTGGTTGTGTGGCGGTGGCCGCTGCCCACTGCTAGCGACCCTGTAGGACAGAGTTCAGCTGCCCCATGGTGTCACCAAGGCTGTCAGTCTTTTGGGAATCAGACTGTCTCATCTTTCTGCCTTAGAGAAGCTGGTGGGTTTGAAGTCCTGACCTTTTGTTAAGCAGCCGAGCGCCTAAGGACTTCGCCGCCACAGCCCCTTACCAAGAAAATCGATGCCACATAACAACTAGGCCTGTTGTTAAAATAAGAAACCAAGAAGGTGCTTGGTCAGGGCCACCTCCTCAGTGGCAGATGGCGGTGCCCGGTTCCCCTTCCCGTGGGAGCCTGTGCTTCCTCTCCTGGTGAACCTGTCGTGCTCTCTCGTCGCCCTCAGCAGGGGCATCCGCCACACCGGCTGGGCCCGAGTCTGCGGAGCAGCGCTGTCAGGACCAGGGACAGCGGCAGCGCCTGGGGGCTCGGGGGCGGGCCGTCCGAGGTGCTGTGCCTGGGAGGAGGGGTTCTAACTCTTGGGCCTCCCTGGTGTCCGGTGCCTGCCTCCTCTGCCCCTCTTCCAGGAGTCGCCCTGGCTTTGCCCTCACCCTGAGCAGCTGCCTCTGGGCTGCAGGGGCTTCGGGTGAAGCCCGGCGCGGTCAGGCGGTTCCTTCGCGTGGCCTTCAGGGTTCAGGTCTTACAGGCTGCTTTCACGAGGAGCAGGCAGGGCCCTTCCCCGTTCACCTGACGCCCTCGCCAGCCTGTTTCCAGCGCTCTGGGGTTGACTTCCGTTTCCCGCTTTAAAAGGGTCGTGGGTTCGAGAGAAGCTGTCTGCGCTGCGTGGCTCCTGACAGCCACCCGGAGGACGGTGGGGGTGCTGGCGACTCCTGTCCCCAGGGACGTGGGATTCAGGGCGCATTGCCAGACTTAGGCTTTTTCAAAAGAACCTGGAATCCGAGTTTTTGTGTGAACCCCATGAATGTTAAACATTGGCAACAAGAACGCGTGATTGTGAATACCGTGAGGCGGGCGGGACGAGGACAAAGGTCACTGTCCCGAGCCACACCGGGCCTCAGTTTCCCCTCTGCGGACTGGGTGTCTGTTCCAGGGCCTGACGCGGGCGCGCGGGGGTGGGTGGGGTGAAGCCGCCATCCTGCTACCGCAGCCCGCGGGGCCTCCCTGAGCTACGGGGGCCCTTTCACTGCGCCGGCAGAGGCTGCTGCTGGCGGAGGTTTTGTGCGAAGTTAATGGAGCTTCAGCTAAAGAAGGAAAAAGGGCGGGAGCCGAGGCCCCCGGGGTGTGGGAACCGCCGCCGAGAGGCGGCTGGCCTGCGGGGGAGGGGAGCCGCCTTTGTGTGCGTTCGCTGGGCGACTGGTCCCACCGCCCATTGTGCTTGGGCACCGCCCCGCCCCTTCCCGGGAGCTGGGCACCTCCCTTTCCCCCCGCCCCTTCCCGCGGCCCGAGGGGCATCGTGCCCGCCCTGCCCTGGCAGCTCTCCCCCCACCCCCAGTCTCCAGGTGAAGGGTCCCGGCTGACCCAGGCGCAGCCGCCGTGGAGTTGGGACTCTCTATCCCTCTGCACCCTTTCACTGGCCACTCCAAGATGCCGGGTTTGGGATGGTGGTGGGTGTTTAGAGACACCCCCACCAGGAAGGACAGCCAAGGCCTGGGAGTAAGGAAAGGCCCCCACGGACAGCCACGTCCAGAAGGACAACAGCGAAACCAAGGAGGCCCTGACTCCACTAGGGAAACAGAAAAAGGGGCTCTGGCGAGTGTTCTAGGTGTGGGGGGACAGGGCGTGGATAAGGGCATGGCACGGGGTAGTTGAGACAGAGGCATGAGGGTAGACCCCTCCGAGGGGACCCTTCACCCAGAGTCACCCAGGCTGCCTCCACCCAGAAACCCGTCTCCCTCCACCCCTATGGTGTCCCATTAAACATCAATCTTCCCTTCACTCCTTGTCCACTGCCCACCCCCCACGGCCCCACCTGTCCTGGCCAGACTGTACTCTTCCTTCCACAGTGTGTACTTCATACAGGAACTAGGCCCAGTGCTGGTGGGGGGTGGGAGGTCACTGCACACTCATTAAGGAGGAGCTGGGGTAGGGTAAGATTCACTTGGCATCGTGGTCCACCTGCAGCCCTCTCTGCCTCCCTCTTCCCTGACAGACTGGCAGGGTCAGCAGGAAGGGGGTGTGGCCTGTCTGTGGCGTCTGCCCATGCCGGCCTGTGCCCATGTGCAGCCCAGCACCCATGCCCTACTTCTGCCTCTTGTCGGCTCTACAAAGGGACTGCCCCCAGATCCCTCCACACTCCTGACTGTTCTGCAAGGGGGAGTGAGGAGGGGCAGACCTCACTAGGGTGGAGGACTGCTGAACCGCAGGTCTTCCCCCAAGCTTTGGGAGGGGTGGGGGGAGGAGGGTGTTTCTCACTGACCCCTTCTCTCCTGTTGTCTGTCCAGAGGGAAGGGGCCCTGCCTGGTTCCCAGCCCCCTCCCCCACATCCTCAGCTCAGCACCCAGGCTGTGCCCGAGACCATTGTCCATGATCTGGAGTCACTGGGCACATGAGCAGCACTTTGGTTGGTCCCACCTTGGTCTCTGGGAGGGGGCGTCAATTGTACATGTAGTACCCCTTCCTAGGGGAAGATACCCATACTTGTTCCATGTGGCTGAATGGGGCTGCCCCCTTCAGGCATGGCCAGAACCAAGTCTAGCCCTTCAAGAGACACCCTCCTACCAGCCAGTGACATGCCCCAAGTGGGGGAGGCACAGGCCTGGGCTGCCCTCTACCAGTGGCCCTGCAACACCAAAGATGCCATGTGAGTCCCTGGGTCCAGCCATACCTGCACCTGTAGGGCTTCCATTTCCTTGTTACAGAGCTACCCAATCCCCACTCTGTATACATTGGGACTCTGAGCACAGTGGAAGTTCCCTAAGGGCCCTGGCATCTGTCCTGTTGACTTCTGTGTCCTCAGTATCCGTAACAGTGCCTGGCACAGAGCCAGTGTTCAGTATGAATGTGTGTTCATGTGGTGTGGACTATCTGTGCACGTGCACTGCATGGGCACTCTGTGTGAGTGCATGTGTGATGTATGCTCACATGTGTACCATCTGTGCACATATACTACGTACTACATGTGTGCTATGTGTGCTTGTATGGTATGTACCACCTGTGCACATGTACTGCATGGGCACACTGTATGTGTGCACATGTGTACTAAGTGTGTGCTGTCTGTACACATGTACATGCCATGTGTCTATGTGCACATGTACTGTATGCTCATATGGTATGTATTGTCTGTGCATGTGTACATATGTGCTGTGGTCTGTACTATGGACACACTGTGTGCTGTGTGTGCTCATGTGGTCTGTACCATCTGTGCTATGCATCACACATGTGCATGTGTCCTGTGTCTGCTGCATGTCTTCCAGAGGCATTTCAGCCTAGGAGCCAGAGCTGCAGGTGTCCTATCTAAACTGTACCTGTGTTTCCACAGTTCATGGCTCTAGCCCTGTGACTTCACCTGGACAACCTATTTCCAACCCCCGCATGGAAAGGTGCTGCCCACGGTGTCCCCCATAGCCTTGGGCAGCACAGGGCTCAGGCTTTGGGGACTGTCTTGGCTTTCTGGTGGAGTTTCTCATTTTCAGGAGTCTAGAACGAGCCAAGCTTGAGAGGTTCTACCTGGGTCAGTCAGCATGGGGTGGGGCAGGGTGCAGGGAGGTGTCAGGGGCTCCGGGTCCTGCTGATGCTGGGAAGCCCCCTGCTTTGGCCACAGCGGATGCCCCTCTGCACCCCTGCTATCTCCTCCAGGGCCCTCTGAACACAACTCCTGCCCCTTCACTCCCCACCACCACCCTGGTCACACCGGGTTTTGCTTTTGGCCCTCAGCTGCCCTGTCCTTGCCCCTCCAACCATCATGTTCAACCAATGTGCTCCATTCCCTGGGGAACCATGCATCCACTTCCACACTGCTACCACTGGGGGCTGGACCCTGATGAGCATAGCTCCTGGCGGCTCTCCCCCGCATCCTGCTTTGTCCAACCCTCCAACCCACGTCACCACTGGACGTGCACCTCACTTCCCACTTCTGGAGAGGGAGAGGCCCTGGCATGGTTTCATCTTCCTCTCCATGTCTCACTCCCTCAGCACATCACGTGCCCCTCCTCCAAGGAGGCCCTTCCACCATGGAGCCCACTCCGGAGTCTCAGAACAAGCCCCTTACAACTGTCTGGTGTCCCCCTCCCCCACAACCTCTTCTCATGTCACTGACTCAAGTCCTCACCAGACACCTGCTGAGCAGGTATAGCTGCCTCAGCCTCCAGGTCCTCTGGGTGGAACCTCGGCAAAGGCGCTTTCAGGGACAGCCAAGTGCTAGGGAGAAAGCAGGTGAGGAGGGTGGGTGGAAGCCAGGCGTGACCCCAATTGTAGAGGACCAGTCACCATGGCCCCTTTTCAACTCCCTTCTCTAGGTTTCAGACACAATCTTTGTCCACACAGACCTGCCTCCCCAACATCTCCCAGACCTGTCCTGAGCCGTCCCATGGGTCCTGGGGATTAACTGACCATGGCAGAGCCCCCGCCCCCTGGCTGCAGCATAGCCACCTGCACCCCAAGACCCTTTCCTGTCACTTTGCCTGCTCACTGAGCTCCCTGGGGCCCTGGTCACCCTTGATGGCCAGTGAGTCCCAAGCCACCCATGTCCAGTAGGGGCACAGTAATGGCCGGAAGCAAGTCCTGCTCTCTCTCAGCAATCTCTCCTTAGAAACAGGGCAGACGGACCCCTAGGACCTCCCCTCTGGCTGGCTGGAGGCACGGTACATTCCCACCACCAGGTGGCGCCCAGAGGGGCAGGAGCCTCAGGCCTGCCTTGGAGGTGGCCTTGTACCACCACATACTGTTCTGTTCTGTCCCAGGGTCAAGTTCAGGGTGAACTGTGTGCAGCACCCTCTCCCTCCATGACCCAGGTCCAGGGCACGGCTGACCGGAGGCACCACCCCTTCCATTTCTCAGGCAGGTCCTCAGGTCTGAAGGAAGGCGTCCTGCGGCTACAGGCAGGGGGAAGGGGCCAGGGTGTGCTGGGAACAGAGGCCACGAGGAGCCAGGCACCTGGCTGGGGAAGGGGGAGTGGAGATGCCCACCACCCACAGAGTGAAAAAGACCACTGTATTGATTTACAATTAACAAGATTTACAAAAGGGGGTGGGGGTTTGGTGAGGACCGCCTGTCTGACAGGCTGGAGACCAGGAGTCGTCTGCTGGCCTCCTGGGCCTCGACGTCTGACGTCCAGCTTAACCTCTGAAGTGGGCCCCGGGCAGCCCACTGAGTTTATACATGTCGACAGCGCCTGCAGGGAAGGCAGGTGAGGTCAGGAAGGCATCGTACCGCTTGCTCTCGCCCTCTTGTTGGGTCCCGGGCACAGACAGACACAGTTCAGGGCCGCAGGCACTGCAGACCCCCACACTGGAGGCTGAGGCCGGCACCCGAGTGCCCACTGTGGCCCATCGGGCGCCAGGCGCCTAAGGCACATTTACGAATCGCTCAGGAGACTGGACACGAGCTAGAACCAATGCTGGTTCTGGAGGGAGCTGGTGCTGGCAGGCTACCGTAGCGCAGGGCCACGTGGCCAGTATTGCTCAGGCGAAACATGCTCCAGAGCCCACATGCTGGGGACTGGGCGCCAAGGGCTCATCCTCTGCTGGTCGGAGAGAGAAGGGCTGAGCTGCCGGCCCTGCCGGCCCCGAGCCCCTGGGCTGCGGCAGAGGGTGGAGGTCAGAGGTCCGTGACCTTGTTCTCCAGCGCGGCCGCAATCTGCTGCAGGCGGAAAGCCAGCTGCATCTTTTGGGCGGCAGGATCCTCCTCCAGGGCATTGATGATCTGAGGGTGGGTGACCGTCGTGTGAGGGCCAGCGGTGAGCGGCTGCCCAGTGCCCTCCCGTCCCCGTGAGGACGTGGCCTGCCTACCTCGTCATAGTATTTCTGTGTGTACTGATAGAGCTGGTGCAGGGCCACGAGAGTGTTCAGGGAGGCCGTGTGTGCCTGGGAGAGGGGGACAGTGTGACCCAGGGTGGGAACCCCAGCCTCTCGGCTGGAGCTGTCCTCAAAGGCCGCAGGTGGGCTGTGTGAGGCACAGTCAGGCCCAGGAGTCGCACTCTTCCACGGACACAGCCCCAGACAACCGGCAAGGCCCACAGCCACGCCCCCTACTTAGATGTCGTCTGTCCCTTCCAGTGGCCCCTAATCACACACACATGCACCCCCGCGAACACCCTCACTGGGAGTGTGCTGGCTGCCAGCCAGACACATGCACTCTCTTGCCTCCCTGTCGATGGCGGGATTTCACCCTCACCCTGCAGTTCAGCCCAGAGTGTGTGTGAGGGGCATCAGGAGGAGCGACCCCCGTGCCCTCCCCCCTTACCCGCGAAATCTCTGCCAAGTGTGTGTTCATGTCCTGGTCGCTGACTTGTACCATCTGGCGGATCCCCTTGTAGTAACTGTGGGGGAAGGGCAGTTACAAGGGGTGGGAAGGAGGGGGGTTGCCACATGGGGGGGGGGCAGGGGCCAGAGGTGGGGAGGGCAGGTGGCACTCACTCCTCCACCATCTTCTTATAGGTAGAGATCTCCTTGGCGTAGAGCAGCTTGTTGCTGGGAGAGTCCTGGGGGGAGATGCTGCATGACACTTGGGCCAGATGGCACCACTGCCAGGGATGAAGTCACACTGCTCGGTGGCTCCGCGGTATGGGGGCGGGGGGCACATCATCAGGTAGGCTGCAGCCCTCATCCACCCAGACCTGCCTGCCTTCTGGTCACCAACCCCTCAGTGGCTCCCCTTGGGCAAGGTTGTGGGGGGCAGTCCTGTGTGAGGGGAAGGGGTTCCCGGCCTTCCAGGAGCAGGCAGGGGTGGCCCACATCACCATCTACCCACCCAATGTCCAGAGCTCCTGACATGCCCCAAACCAACGACCTGCCACCAGGCGGTCCCACCCCCAGTAACACCCCCAGGCATCAACTCCCTTCCCACCCCCACTAATACCCCCAGGCCTCTGCTCCTGCTCCCCACCCCACTAACACCCCCAGGGCCTCGCCCCTGTTCCCTGCCCCGATGACACCCCCAGGCCTCACCCCTGCTCCCTGCCCCGATGACAGCCCCAGGCCTCGCCCCTGCTGCCTGCCCCGATGACACCCCCACAGCCTCGCCCCTGTTCCCCGCCCCGCTGACACCCCCAGGCCTTGCCCCTGCTGCCTGCCCCGATGATGCCCCCACGGCCTCGCCCCTGTTCCCCGCCCCGCTGACACCCCCAGGGCCTCGCCCCTGCTGCCTGGCCCACGCACGCGGCTCAGCTTGTGCTCGGTGCGTGTGCAGGCGTCCATGAAGGTCTGGGCAATGACAGACAGTGAGGCGTCCACCACCTCATGCACGTGCACGTCGAAGATAAAGTGGGGGTTCTTGAGGATGTTCACCCAGAACCGCAGTGGCAAACTGAGGGGAGAGAGTAGGTGGTCAGGGGCTGCCAGGCCCGCGTCCTTGTGGGGCCGGGCAGGTGACCCCCACCTGTTGGTCTTCCAGATGTGGATGGTGTCCTCGTCACGGATGTCATACTTCTCCGCCTGCTCATCCAAGAAGTCAAAGAAATACTTGACTGCAGGGGGCACTGCATGGCCGGGCGCCAGCACGCTCTGGAAGAAGTTGTCCACGAACTGCTGCAGGGTGCCCTGCGGGTAGGGTGAGCGTGGTCAGCGCCTGGCACCAGGCAGCCCGGGGTTTCGGCCCTAGCCCGTTCCCACACCTTGACGGACAGCAGCCTCGTCAGGTAGATCTCAGTGATGGCCTTGGTGCGCTCTTTCTCCTTCACGCTGCCACGCTTGGGCTTGCCCTCGTCCACCTCATCAGCTGGCCGTACCAGGTGCCACACGCGGTTCTCCTCCTCCAGGAGGGCGTGGCCTGTGGGCGGGGCGTTTGCTGAGGACACTGAGGTAAGGCTGGGTGGGGCAGCAGGGGTAAGGGGTGGACATTGGTCCTGTGCTGACCTCCAGAAGTGGGAGGGGAGGGGCAGGAGGAGGACTCACGCTCTCCGGGCAGGTCCTGCTGGCTGTCCTCTGGCTGCTGGGAGACCCCCACCTTGGACAAGATGAGGGTGGCTCCATCCCGGACCTAGAGAACATGGAGGTGACGTAGGGGTGCTTGCCGTGGGAGGTGGGGCCAGCCCTGTCTCCCCAGTGCTGCCCGCTGTCCCGCATTCCCTTGCCATCCACACTCACGTTATAGTGCATCAGTGTGTTGATACGCTTCCACCGGCCATCCCGCTGGGAGGTCAGGTCTAGGTCTGACAAGGTCTGTGCCGTGGACCCAGGACGCCACTCTGCAAGAGAGCCCAGCTTGCTCACGCTCGGGCCCGCCCTGCTCCGAGCGTGCGGTGCTCACCAGCCTGCCTGCTCACCTAGGACCACACTCGCAGCCTTGGGCCAGCGGGAGCAGGGCTGCGTACGGTACACCTGGTCGATGATCTTCTCCTTGACTTGGGCGATGGTGTCACAGTTGAGAACTTTGACGGGGATGGCGTCGACCCCTTCGTCCTGGACAATCACATTCACTGTCTGTGGGGACACAGGGAGTCACTGCCCAGTGCCTGGCCTGATCGAGCCCCAGGGCCCTCGAGTGTCCACAAGGGGCCATACACACACCGACCGAGCATGCCTACCAGGGCCTGTCACTTCCCACGGGGACAGGTGACGAGTGAGGAGCGTACTTCCACGTGAGCTTCTGTGCCCAGCTCAGGTGCACCTGGGCCTGACTCAGAGCCCAGCACCGCAAGCCCACCTGTAGTTCCCCGGTTCCACAGGTCACTGCTACCTGCACTCATCCTGTGCCCTGTGCCCAGCCCCTGCTCACCAGGGGTGCATACTCCACGTCGTCCCCCAGTAGCCCCGTGTCGTTGAGGGTGTACTTGGCCTTCTTCTGCACGGCATCCACCGGCCCCTTCTCCACCTGATGCTTGATAGCCTTGAAAAGCTTGTACAGGGGCTCACCAGCACTGTCCTGGGGCGAAGTGAGTGGTCAGTGTGGGCAGGGCCTGAGTTGGCAGGATTGGGGGATGTGGGGCCTGCAGGAGGCCCGGCCAGGGTGTCTGTGGGTCTGACCACATGAGAGGAGGGAAGCAGAGAGGCAGGTGCAGCGGGTGGATGTTGGTGGGGCTGCAACCTACCTTGAGGTACTGGTACAGGCAGATGGACATCCAGTTGGACAACATCCTCTCCACTACTGTCTCGGACCTGGGGTTGCAGAGAGGCCTATTACCAAGAGGCCCTTAACACCCTGGGGTCGGGACCCCTGTCCTCCATGGCTTCCCCTGCCAGCCCTGGGTCCCCAAGCAGAACACAGACGTGCAACCTGCAGTAATGACTGACCAGTGTGCACATGTGTGTGACATGCATGCACACATGAACACAGGAAGTACTGAGTGTCATTTCCCACTTCATCCTACCTGCCAAGTGACCAGCAGGGCAGTGAGGGGAGCTGGAATTCACTCCCATCTGATGCTGGGGGCCCCAGCAGCTCAGGCGGAGTCCCAGGGGAGCCCTGGGTCTGGCCGCGGCATCCCAGAGGGCACCCAGCCCTCTGCTGGGCCCCGCCATCATTCCTGGCCCGCGCCCACGCACCTGCGCAGCATCAGCTTGGGGTTCTTGGCCACCACGTACTGCTCCATGAGTTCCAGGAACAGTGTGCGCATGATATCCGTGTAGTACTCCAGCTTCCCGTGGAGGGCCACCGTCAGCAGTGACGCGAAGTACACCTTGGCTCGTGCTGAGAACTCGCGCTGGTTCTCCAGGGTGTGGATGAACTGTGGGCGCAGAGCCGTCAGGGCCTGTGGGGTCCTCCCCTGACCGCGGCCCTCCCGCCCGCCCGCCCCGGCCCCGGCCCAGCAGCTCACAGTGACGAGAAAAGATTTGCTGTTGAGCAGGTTGGAGAACTGGTAGAGGGCCTGCTCTGCCGTGGGCCGCCGCGACTCGGGGATGTCCAGCCTGCCAGTGATCATCACATCCTTGTCGCCGTCCTTGGAGGGCAGGAAGAAGACACGGTCCGTGTAGGTCTTGTAGTCCAGCACCGGGATACCAGCCTCGTGCACGTCGTTGGTCTGGTCCTCCATCTCGATCATCAGGTCTGTAGGGGGCTGGGGTCAGGCCACTGCCGTGCCCTGCCCTGCCCCTCCCGGCCCGGGCAGCTCTGACCTGTGAACTCCTTCTTGCAGCGGTCACGCACGCTCTCCTCCAGACCCTCCAGCTGGGACTTAATCTTCTCATACTCGCGCTCTGCCTGCTGGCTCTTCCTCCTGGGGACACAGAGAGGCCTGGGCTGGGCTGGGCTGGGGACAGCTCCTGGGGGTGGGTAAGGGCATGGGTTGGGTGGGGCTGGGGGCCACCAGTAGCATAGACTGACAGAGGCCAGGCTGGGGGCGGGTTCTCAGGGGAGAGGATGGGTGGGGCCGGTGGGGTAGGCGGGGCCGACCAGCAGCATAGACTGAGAGAGGTGGGGCTGGGGGCAGGCTCTCAGGGGAGAGTATGGGCGGGGCCAGTGGGGTGGGCAGGGCCAACCAGTAGCAGTAGACTGACAGGGGCAGGGCTGGGGGTGGGCTCTCAGGGGACAGCATAGGGCAGGGCCAGTGGGGCAGGGCGGGACAGGGCAGGCACTGACCAGTAACAGTAGACCGACACAACGATGACCACCACCATAGGCACGATGACTAGCGGCAGGATGAGACCAAGCCTAAGGGCCACATCGCTGACACGTGTGTCATACTCCACGCGGCCCAGCACCCACTCGCGGGAGCCAAACTTGACCTGCGGAGGGGCCTGTCACCAGGGGCAGGTTCCTCCCCAGCCTGCGGCCCCCATGCCCACCCCGACCCACAGCCCTGAGCGCACAATGAATTCCGGCAGGTTGTGGGTGGTGTCCCGCTTCTGCCGCCGCTTGGGCGGGGGCTGCACCTCTGGGGGCTCGCAGTACAGGTCGGTCTCGGTGAGCGTCTTCATGACACAGCGCTCGGCGCCCACGAAGGCTTCAGCCTCCTGCAGTGTCATCGCCTTGTTCAGGTTGGTGCCCTGGCAGAAGTGGGGTCAGGGGCACCAGCTCAGCGTGGACCCCAAACCAGGGGCCCCTGCCCATCCTCCCAGGTGGGACCCTGACCCACCACACACATACACACCAGTTGCTCCTGAGGAAAGACTCAGACCTCCATCCCACCCGGGTGGGACCCAGAACCTCCACCTGGGAAGGACCCCTCTGTGGTGCTGTCCCTGCCTTGGTAGGACCCAGAATCCCCACCCGGGCAGGACCCCCTCTGTGGTGCCATCCCCACCCCTCTGTGGTGCTGTCCTCACCTGGGCATGAATGAGCTTGTTAACCTGCTTCTTAACACCGTCCGTGAAGTTCTCGAAGGTGGGGTCGGCCACATACTCAAAGGTGCCAGCCTCGGTGCGGAGCAGAATGTGGTGCCCGTCCATTTGGACCAGCACTGTCAGGTTGTAGGCCTCGGGCTCCTCGGGGACAGGTGGTGACAAGAAGACCACCTTGGTGTCGCTGTGGTACACGTAGTCGGTGCCCACGATCTATGCAGAGGCTGGGCTGTCAGGCTGCCCTGGCCCAGCTGAGTGTAGCCGCAGCCCTGCAATGCTGGCCCTAGCCAGAGTCAAGTGCAGCCCCAGCCCCCTAGTGCCAGCCCTGGCCCCCAGATGCTGGCCCAGCCCAAGTGCAGCCCCAGTCCCCTAGTGCCGCCCCTGGCCCCCTGATGCCGGACCAGCCCAAGCCAAGTGCACCCCTGGTTGCCCAGTGCTGGCCCCAGCCCCTCAATGCCGGCCCAACCTGAGCCAAGGGCAGTCCTGGTTCCCCAGTGCCGGCACCGAGGCTGGTACACAGACCTTCATGGGCTGCAGGGCTCCGGCCTCTCGCCGTCTCCTCCAGGACTGTAACGGCTCAGCCATGACCACCATGGCGAACTTCTGGATGAGGCCAAAGCCCTGCCCGGTGATGTTGATGCTCCGGCCACCACTGTGGGGAGGGGGCTTTGAGTAGGGTGGCAGGAGGTGGGAAGGGTGAGGCATGCTGGGAGCACTGTGAAGGTGACCCTGCCACCCCTGTTCTCATCACAGGTGTGTGGGGGACGTGGGGCCCAACAGATGTCCATCTGTCTGTCTCCCTGCCTGGCTGGGTTTCAGAAGGAGCTAACCTGGGGTGCATGGGGGTTTCTGGGACCGCCTCCTGCCGCCCCACATTCCTGGCAGTGAGTGAGAGGGTGTAGCTGGAGGGGGTGTGGCCTGGGAAGGCAGCTGGGGGGGCACACCTGACAAAGCTGCGTGTGGGCTCGAAGGCCCGCAGCACTGGGTTGTCACGGTAGGTGAAGACGACGCCGGGGCTGGGCACAAGCGAGCCCCCGTAGAACACCTCCAAGGATGCCTCGCCCACCTGTGGCTGGGGGCCCGTCATGCACTCGAGCTCCACCCCAAACTTCGTCCTGGGGTCAGGTGGGATGGGTGCGTCAGCATCCCTTCACCCTGGGCCCAACCCCAGCCCCGATCAGCAGGTCACCTTGGCTCCCCTGCCACCCCCAGGGCAGATCCAGAGCCAGGGCGGTCTGGGGCCTTGGCCAGCTCACGGGTGACACCCACACGTTACAGGGGACACTGTTGAGGTTCACCAGCACGTCCTCCTTGGAGCCTGTGTTTAGGTGGGTGCCAGAGATGGTCAGCAAGGTGCCGCCCGCCTGTGGCCCCTGCTTTGGGTCGACGTGGACAGGCTGTGGCTGCTGGGAGAACCACAGGGGCGACTGGGTTAGGGCGACAGGGGTCATAGGAGCTTCTCCCCTTCCTGGCCTCCAGGGGGGCCTCTGAGTGGCACTTCATGGCATCTTAAAATTGGGACACACGTAGCCGCTCCACTCCCCAGGCCAGCAGTCCCCAGATCCTGACCCAGGAGAGCCCACACCCGGAGTCTGAGCGTGTATGTACCTGGTAGGTGAACCGGACATGGGGTGGTGAGTGGCCCAGCTTCCCGCTGATGTCCACCTCAACACCTCCAGTGGAGGGCTCCTCGGAGGCTTCGATCACACAGACGATCCTGGGGTGACAGGCAGGGTGGGGACACACTTCAAGACCACTGTCCCTCAGCCTCCACTGCTCCTGGCCCGTCCATGTCGGTGAGAAGCCCCCTGGGGTCCTCACTGCACCTGGCCCACCCACGTGGATAGCAGCCCCCTCAGGACCCCACAGTGCTTGGCCCATCCATGCCAGTGCATGCGTGTAGTGGAATACAGGCAGGCTGAGGCCATAGCTTCCCTGGCTGCCCTGTCCCCCAGACCCGAGCACCCCAGGGTGGAGGTGCCCAGGAGGCCCACACGGCCACCTCAGCCTCATGCATTTCGGCCACTCACCGAGTAGACACAGAGTACCACTGGGGCTCGAAGGTGCAGTTGTGGCCAGCCACGGTCACCCTCTTAACGTCATCTGCCTTGATTCCCAAGTTTGACCCAAGGATGGTGACACGAATGCCCCCTCCCAGTGGGCCTGTCTGGGGCTGGATCTGCAACAAGGACAGCCAGGTGACTGTGGTGCAGGTGGGTAGGGTGTGCGACAGGGCAGGGGGCCAGATGGGAGCCCCAGCCTGGGACAGGTGCAAGCAGGCTCACCCTGGTGATGACAGGGGGTGGGCACTCGGAGGTAGCATTGCCGCACAGGGCCTCATACACACACTTGCTCTGCCCACCACACCACACACACTTGTAGGCAGGGTCAGCGGCCAGACACAGGCTGCAGTCGCTGCGGCCAAAGGAGCAGTTGTACAGGGTCACTGGGGGGAGAGTGCAGGTGTCAGGCTCTTGCCCTCCCCAGGCCCCGCCTCCACCCACCCACCCACCAGCCCCACCCACACCTTGGAGCTTGCTGTCAATGTTCTTGCCATAAGACTTGACATACAGGTGCAGGGGCAGCGTCTCACTGGCATCGTAGGACAGCTGGCGGAAGGTGGACAAGCAGACATGCTATGCTCACAGCCCCACCCACCGGGACCCTGTGCCCACAAAGTCCCACATGGCTCCCCACCTCAGGAACCAGAACCAGGCAGCAGACAGGAGGTCTTCAGGGTGGCTGAACACAGTCACCCAGAGAGACAAATGTCAATGGGAGATGAAGCAGGTGGGACTGAGCAGGAACCAAGGACCCAGAGACCACACCCACTGAGCATGGGGGTACAGCTGGGGGCCCTCCCTTCTCCCCCCAACCCCCTGAGCAGTGAAAAGGCGCCGAGGGCCTGGGCCAGCAGCCTGACCTGCCCCTGGGAGGTGTACCTTTGGGGTCCGGAAGAAGAAGATGCCTGGCTCCTGCATGCTCACCAGCTCCTTGAACTTGAGGAGGTCACTCCCCACATACAGGGAAGTGCTCTGCGGGGACAGGGACTCAGGAACCCCTTCTAGTAACCACCCTGCCCCACACCCCTGCTGCGACAGAGCCCCCCCCCCCCACTATGAGCCCCACCTATGTCCCCAAATGCCTCCAGCTGCCTGCACATGGGTGTCCTGGGGTACCCCTGGAACACTGCACAGTTGAGTCCACGACCGGGCCCACCCAGGGCCCTAGCCCTGCCTCCCTCGCCCCCTCCCATCTCAGCTCCAGCTTGACTGAGTTCCACACTCGCCTGCCCTCCTCTTGGCCTGTGCGTATGTCCCCTCATCCTCTCACTCCTCTGTCCCCAAGCACCTGAGCAGCCCCTCCAAGTGCCAGGCCCTAAGCCACGGAAGCCAGACCATGGCCCAGGCACCCCAGCTTCAGTCTCAAGGGAGGATGACCCCCGCTGGGTGCCGGGGGGCGTGCTCCACCCACCTTCACCGTGTCCAGGTTCTCGCCCTGAAAGGTCACATCCGTCTCATGGTTCATGGGAACGACCAGGGGGCTGGGCTTTAGGAACTGGGGGCAGTTCTCCTCCTGGGGATGGGGGGCTAGTCAGCTGCAGCCAAGCGGTGGCTGAGCAGCCCAGGCCCAGCGCGGCCCCGTGCTCACCATGTGGGCACGGACGATGCCTTCCTCAGGGTTGGGCGAGGCTTCCCGGCACTCGTGGTAGAGCAGGTCCCACTGGCACGTCCAGCGGTTGCTGGCACAGGAGATGCACCTTTGGAGAAGGGCATGTGATGGCTGGGGGAGGGGCGGCAGGTGGTAATGGGGCAGGTGCCGGTGGACAGCAGGTTGGCACTCACGGTAGGTTCTCCACCAGGTGCATGGCCTCTCGGCAGTCATAGAATGGATACAGGTGGGAGGTGAGGAAAATGTCACCACGGTGTAGAAGCAACTGGATGCTCACAGTCACATGGTCTGCAGGTGACAGAGGGACCTGTGAGGCTACAGCTGCAGCTGCAGGCGGGATGTGCACAGACAGACCCCAGTGCTGGACACAGGCGCCCCCCCCACCCCCGCCATCAGCTCTGGCAACTCCCTGGCCCCCACCTCCCCTCACTATCAGCTCTGGGCCCCCACCCCCCATGATCAGATCTGGGCTCCCTGCCTGCCTCGCCCCACACTGGTATGAGACCCAGGGGCCCCCAGGACGAGGCTCTGGTTTCCCCCTAGGGCTCTGTGCTGTTGCAATCTCTTTGTCCCCACAGGCGCTAAGGGCAGCAGCTCCTATGTGTCTGGGGCACAGGGCTGCTGGCTCCTGACCACGTCACTGCAGGACCCTGGCCCTGCCTTCCCTGGCCCACATCTGGGCCCTCCTGGGACTGCCCTGCCATCTCAGGCCAGTGGGAGAGGACTGAATGAGGGTCCCTGCACCATGGCCTGGAGGGGAGGGACAGCCACACAGGGAAGGGCTTGCTGGGCTTGTCGGGCTCCAACCTCCCCAAGAGGCACCTCCACGGACCGCCTCTGCACCCCAAAGGCTGACTGTGACCCTCACAGGGTGGACAAGGGGGGCTGAGCACACTCACCTTGGCCAGGCGGTGTGCTGGGAATGACTGTCGGGGAGTTGCAGACGACCGTGTCACCCTCCACTCGGGCAGGATGCGGTGGCGAGTCACCAAAGAGGCACAGCAGCTCATCATCCTCGTTCAGGGTGGGGAGTGGGGTGACTGTCAGCTGTACCTGGTGGGTGAGCAGCTCACTGGGACCCGCCCAGGTGTATACAGCCCAACCTCACAGAGCCTCTACCCCTGGGTCACTCCAGCAACTCCTGTGTCAGGCTCTGGGTCTGCCCTGGAGCCTCTCCCCAGGTTACAAGGCCGAGAGGGGCCAGTTGGGTCACAGGAGAAATACGCCATGATCATGGCCTACCTACCTTAACAGGCACACCAGTCCCCCATGCCCTCCCCCTGGGCCCACAGTCCCCGGTGCACCTCCCCCTGGGTCTGTGGTCTGCCATGCCCTGCCCTAGGCCTACAGTCCCCCATGCACCTCCTCTGGGCCCATGACTCCCCATGTCTTTCCCCGGGCCCATGGTCCCCCGTTCCCTCAGTCCCCTGCTCACCTCCCCCTGGGCCCGCCGGCTCATGTTCTGTGGCTGGGCGCCGGTGACGGTTACACAGGAGTTGCCCCGGCTCCACAGCCAGTGGCCAGTCTCTTCAGCCCGTGGGCACTTGGCCTTCCTCGTGCACCTGTGTGTGTGTGTGTGTGTGGGGGGGAAGATCAGCAGCCTTGCCCCTGGAGGTCTAGTTCTGCCCAGACATTGAGAACAGAGTCAGGCTTCTTTCTCAGATCCCAGTGTGGGGGCCAGGGCCATGTCCCCAGACTCCCCCACTGCTAGGGGCCCACTCGCTCCCAGGTGCTCACCGTCCCTCGACGACACACCAGCCACAGTAGGGGTCCTGTGAGTCACGGCACTGCGCACAGGTGGGGTGGCTCAGACACTCCTGCACAGGGAGCCGGAACACCTGGGGGACCAAGAGCAGGACAGCAGTGACCTGAGATGACAGCCAGGCCTCAGCTTCAACAGCTGCCACACGGCCACAGGGACCAGGTGGCCGGACCTGCGGTGGGACTCAAGTGGGTCCGGGCCCTACGGGGTCTTGGCTCTGTGCCCTTCCCCACGATCCCACGGCCATTTGACCCTTCACAGGAAAGGCTCTTGGATGTCCTGGGTGTCCACCTAACACGTCCCCTGGAAAGCCTGGGCACCCCTCCACCCCTCCTTAGTGCCACTGAAGAGGTTGCCCAGGACCCCTCCCCTGGCCGTCCACCCCGGGGGACACTTCCACAAAGCACCGGCCCAGATCCCTTCCTCAGAATGAGGCAGAGGCAAGCCCAGAGAGACTCAGGCAAAACACAGGAGAAAAACACAGACAGAGTTGCAGACCCAAGGACAGTGCTACAGAGCCAGCAGGATGGAGACACCATCCAGGCCCCCGTCTGGCTGTCCAATCCTGCCCACGGGACACAGCTGGGCCGCTGAGGCCTGCCCCCCCCCTTTGCCCCTCTGGGGCTGCCTCCTGCCCACCTTGTCCTGAGTCATGGCGTACAGACTACCCAGGTCTGGGGACAGCACCAGGGCCTGCCCAATCCGCTTGTTGATCTCCACAGGGATGGAACCATATTCTACAGAGGTACCATTCGGGGCGAGGTACACCTGGCATGAGAGGAGTGTAAGCGTCTCATGGCTGCAACGGGCTGCCTTCCAGAGCTTTCCCCTGGTGCTGTCCTGGCCCCAGCCTCACCTTGAGGATCCTGCCATCAGAGGTGCCCAGGAAGGCGATGGTGTGGCCATCTTCAGCAGCCACTGTCACAGCCGTCAAGTTCAAGCCGCCCCGCTGCAGCACAGCCTTGGCTCTGAGTCCTTCCCGGCTGCCCAGAGGGTAGGGCAGGTGCTCCGAGCCACAAGGGAAGCTCTTACTGGCACCCTGCAGACCCCGGCATCAATGGCAGGTATAGACCTCCATCCCCCGGAGACCCCTTCCACATCCCCGGGGTCAAAGGCTCACAGGGGCCAGGACCCTCCCCAACTGTTGGCAGCTACACACCCAGCGCCCAGCATGTGGGGCCCTGGACACGTGACTGGAAGACCCACGGAGAGGCAGGCACACCCCTGTACAGGATCCCGCCAGGTGAGCTATAGCAGCCCACTGGAGGTGCGCACACACACGGCACCCCCCCTACAGGGGGACAAGTGAGCATACACACGCCTCATGCTCACAGACACGCAGACCCACACAGATACATGCTCCTCAGGCCTGGTGCTGAGGCCACGTACCAGCGTGTGGCCCCCACACTGGATCTCGCCGTGGAAGGCCTTGTAGAAGGTGTTACGGCCCACCTCCCGGGCGCCCGTGTAGCAGGCGTTGCGGTTGGCCTCCATCTTGGCGTGGATTTTATCCAGCGGAAACAGGCAGAGGCCAGCTTGGAGCCCCCCACCACCTCCGCTCCTGCTGTCCTTGCTGAAGACGGCGTACAGCGCCCTGCCGGGGTCCACTGAGGCTGCCAGGCAGGTCCCGAAGGGGGCCTGGGGGTCAGCGGGGTCCTGGCATTCCAGGTCCATCTCCAGGTAGGAGTAGTAGAAGGGGTCGTGCTTGCACATACGCGCCAGGAGCGTGCGGTTCCGGGCCGGGTGCTTGTCTTGCTGGTTGAAGACGAAGAAGACATACCGGCCATCCTCGAAGGCGGCTACAAACTGCTGCGTGTTGGTGGACAGGTAGCCGGCCTTGTAGGTGGCATGGTCTGTATAGGCCTCAAAGGCCTCCCTGCCTGCGGTGCGGTCCAGCAGACGGGTGCTGACGATGATACCGTTGTCATGCGGCCCGTTGCCCTTCCCCACGAAGAGCACGCGCTCGCCGCCGGGGTCCGCGGAGCTCACCAGCCCCACCGTGGCCACAGTCTCGTCGTTGCTGGCCACGAAGGACTTCTCACCACTGCTGTCCTCGTAGAAGATGCGTGTGGAGATGTTGCTTAGCAACCGCAGGGCACAGATGCCCTTGAAGAGGCTCCCGCACTCGACCACGCGGCCTTTGGGTGGGTCCAGCAGCAGCAGCTGGTTCACATTATCAGTGAGCACGGCCTCGTGGCACTGGCCCCTCTCGATGGGCGGCGTGCACTTCCTGTTGTCCAGGGCTGGGCCTGTGGATGCCTGCTGCACCAGCTGGAGGTCGGCAGTCAGCTGGTACAGCATGTTCACTGCCCCCAGGTACACCCCGCCCGTCGCACTGTCTACCACCAAATGGTTCAGCTCTGTCTCACTGTGGAAGGAGTCAGGCTTGCGGGTCCGCAGGCCCACACCGGAGCCTCCCAGGCCCACCAGGAGGGTCAGCGTCCAGAGCCACAGCGCCATTACCTGGCACCCTGTAGGGGAGAGAGGGTCAGGGGAGCCCAGGTGGAGGGCCTTTGCTCAGGAAGGCCCCTCATCGAGGGTCTCTCCAGAACACAGGTGGGGAGGGCGTGGTTGTCTAACGGCCCCCAAATGTAGCTGGACCCACCCACTTCCCTCCAAGATCGCCAAGGAAAATGTCAACCTATGGTTTAACCTTCAAGACCAGGGCCAAGGGGGTCACAGCTGCTACACTGCGGCACCCGAGTGCCTCCTCCAGGAAGTCTCCGAGGTACTCATCATGCCACTCCCTGCTTGTGACCCCAAGAGCCTGCGGGAGGGCCAGGGCACTCTCCCCAGAGCACGGCCCTCCATATATACACAGGTGGGACACATACCTGTTCTACACAGGAATGTTTCTGCACATAGGGTGGTTGGAGGTGAGACAGGCAACCAAAACCCCAGTGGGGGGGGGGCAGGGAACAGAGACAGAGCTGGTGGCCTCAGCGCACACGTTATTTATAGCTGTCCACCAGACCATGCTGACCGCAGCTACCACCACCCCGCCCACTTCCTGAAGAGCTTGCCGGCCGCTCCTCGCCAAGATGGGGGCACACAGGACACAGGACCCAAGACCCAGCAGGGGATTCCAGGGAAGACCCCTGTCTGTGTAGTGGGAGTGCTGAACCTCAGTTCTGGCTGTAAGCATGGGTCCCCACACCCAGGGCCTGTGTGTCTATGTGGATAAGAATGGACATGTGAATGGGGTGAGTTCCTCAGGCCTAGGCTGGACCACAGGGCTCATGATTGGTGGGGGGCAGAGGGGGTCTGAGTCCCCACGTGTGGACCCAAACATATGTGGTCCTGTCCCCTCCCTAATCTGGGGGTACTGGGATCTTGGAGAACCCAGGAGTGAATTGCAGACAGGACCTTTTGGCCTCAAATCCCTGTACCACTCAACCAGACACCCCTGCACCCCAACTCCCAACTCCATCCCACGCTGTCCCTGTCAGAGTCCCGGCCACAGCTCCCCACCACCCCTCATGCTGCCTTCTCCTGATGCATACATGGACCTCCACTCTGGACCCCCATCAGACTCCCCTTCCGCAAGCGGGTCCAGCCCTGCACCGGCAAGGCCCCTAAATGTCACCCCAGGACACTCTTATTCACCCACATCTTAGTTCAAGCACACGGATAACAGGCCACCAAAGGTAAATATCAGACAGCAAGTCATACCACCTGGTGACGTCATGCCTGGGTGTACCTGCAGTGGCCGGCGTGTGTGCGGACCTGCTGGATTGGACTGATCCCAAGCACTTCCCCTGGGCTGGCTTGCTTAGCCGGTGACCTTCCCCTGAAGGCGTTTCTACTATCACCCTACTTCTCAAGGGAGAAACTGAGGCTTAGGGCTGGAGCAGGGCGAGATCCTGACACCTGCCACACTGACCCTTGCATCTCTTCACACCTTCAACTGCCCCCACCTGCCTACTTCCCACCTCCTCCAGGAAGGCAGATGGGTTTGCTTTGCACCATGGAGGAAGCTGTGCTCTTCCGGGACTGGCAGGCCCCTTCTTAGGACCCAGTGACTCTCGCTTCCAGCCTACTTCAGTCTTTGTTCCAAGCACCAGGAAGGTCCTGGTGGAGCTGCAGCCCCCTCCTGCATCCCTCTGCTCTGACCCTCTAGGAGCTCACCAAGAACACACTGGAAAAAGCGAAGGCCCTTCAAGGACCAAATGTGGGGTGCTGGCCTCCCCACTCCCCTGGAGAAAAGGGGGTACCCGGGCGTGCAGATGCTTTCTGGGTCATAGCAGCTGGACTTTATGCAGCTTCTTGGAAGTGGCCTATGCCCTGTGGCCAAGAAGGCAGCTGTCTGATGCCCGAGGGTATCCCCACAGCCCGGTGACCAGGAGTCCCGGCCCCTCTGCGCACACCCACACTCCCATCCCTGGAGGTGAGAGCACTCTGTTCTTGCCCAGTTCCTGGGGACCCCTGTGGGAGCTGGTTGGGGGGTATCTAGCAAGGGCCAGGGCCTGAAGGCTGGTGGCTGGGAGTTGGAGGTCTGGCCTGGAGGCAGTGGGCAGCAGGTCCCACATGGGAGCCCTAGCCCTCACTAAGATGGGGGTCAGGTTGGGGAAAAGATGACAGCTTTAGTCAGAGCCCAGAAGGTTGAACAAGCCCCTCAGCGCTGGGGCACCCGGACTCGCGCCCAGAGACCTCCTCTGGGATGAGCTCCCTGCACAGGGGAGAGAGGGCTCACAGCTGCTGGGGCAAGATGGGGCCTCCCCCAGATGAGCAAGGCCCGGGGGTGAGGGGGTCTCGGGCCCCAGTCCCCTGTCTCCCGCAGCCCCCTCCC